GTCTCTCCTGCCTGGTGGTTCCCCCTGACCCTTTCCTTCCAAATGGCTCTTTTCAGCTTGAGAATATATGTTTATGGGACTCTGTTCTCCTCTTCTGAAATATGGTAGGAGATTCTTGCCAACCAAGAAAGATAGGGAAAAGAGAAAGAAAAGCCAGATACCCCAGTTGTGTTAGGATAGCTAAGTTTTCCTTAGATCAGCACCAGAAGTGGGAATGTTTTCCCCACATACGGTTACTTCTGGACACCAGCCACATGCCCTACAATTTGTCTAAATACAGATTTTATGTCTGACCCCCCAGTTTGGGGGTTCTGTTCTGAGACTCGCCCCTGACACTTCTTCAGATGCCCATCACAAGTGTAGGTCCTGGGTTACCCCCAACTTCTGTCAGATTTAGCACCAATCTGTTGAAGTTCCATGACTCAGGTTCAGGTAACTTGCCATCTTGGCTCACAGAACTCAGAGGACACTTATTGCGTTAACCCATTCATCAGAGGATGTGCTAAAGGACACAGATGAACAGCTGGATTGTTGTTGATGAACAGCCAGATGAAGAGCTGCCTCAGTGAGTTCTTGGGTAGGGGATCATGAGTGCAAAATCTTCGGTCAGCATGGAGTTGGGGGTGTCTCAACCTGATACATGGCTGTGTGCACCAACCAGGAAGTTCTCAAATCCCATGAAGGTGACACTTTATGGAGGTTTCCTCACACAGGCACATCTACTGTGAGTTCCATTTTTAGCCTCTCCCCCCTCTCTGGAGACTGGAGAGATGCAGGTGGGGACTGAAAATACCAGGCCTGTCATCACGGCTTTGTCTTTCTGGTGACCGGCCCCTGTCCGGGAGCCATCCAGGAACTCACCCAGAGTCACCTCATTAGAAATGAGTCCCAGGGCAAGATAGGTTTGATTAGGCAGCTTCAGGGGCAGTGCAGGCAGGAACTTCAGGAGTGTTAGAGAAGTGCGAAGCAAACATACTCCAGAGATAAGGACAGTAAATTCTAAGACGTGCTAACCAAACATACTTCAGAGATGAGGTCAGAAATCCAGAAGGGCTAATGGGGGCAGTAAAGTTTAAGAGGCCTTGCACAGGGGAGGTAAAAGCAAACTCTGAGATAGGCTCTGGAAAAATGGGCACATCTGCCCAGAGGAGTAGAGCCAGTAGGAGAGAGCGCCAATCACAGAGCAGGATGATGACAGTTTAGAATAGAGAAAAAGGGCCTCCCCGGTGGTGCAGCGGTTGAGCACTGGGTTGCGAAGCTGCCCGTGGCCTCTGCAGCGCCAGTTCGATCCCCGGCTTCTCCCTGGCCACCTGAGGAGGGTCCCACATGGCGGGCAGACCTCTCCTGCCTCCCGCTGCTCCCCTCAGCAGTGTACTTCGGTCCTTCTGCCTGCTCTGCTCCCCGCTCTGGCTCTGGTGAATTCTCTCACCCTCCCGCGCTTCTGACTGTACCCAGTGCATGTATAAACAAAACAAACAAACAAACAAACAAACAAATAAAACATGCCTCTATTTAAATAAATAAATAAATAAATAAATAAATAGATAGATAGATAAATAAATAAAATAGAATAGAGAAAAAGGTTAAATATCCCCTGGACAGAGGCCCATTTGGGGTCTTTTGCCCCGATTTGGCATTGCTTGCCTTCAAGTCTTTGCTTTTGTTCTTTCTCTTCTAAATAAACTTCTCCTTACTCTCTAAATAAAGATTTGCTTCTCTCAGCTTATTTATCTGAGGGTTTGTCTACAATTTCCTTTTGACTGCTTCATGGGACAAGAACTTGTGACTGTTTAATGTTACTGGGGTGAAAAGTAGCAGCAACAGCAGCTGGAATCATGCTAACAGGCACTGGCTTCACAACCACTGTAGAAAAAAACAATGATGATGACACAAAAGGGACTTAATGGGAAATGAAAACACACAAGCTGTCATTACACTGGGAGCAGCTTCTCTGCTGGCCCTTGGGTGAGCTGAGAACTAGAAAAGCTGAAGCACTTTTCCTGAGTAAAACGCCCTAATGTGCCAGCTCTCCACTCCCAATTTTTTTTCCCTATTCTGTATTGACTAAAAATGAATTGAGGCCAGCAAAATTTCATGAGTTTATTAAATAACCAAGAGTAAGGATTGGAATCTGGGAAAAGCCTCCAGACAGCTCTGTGGAAAGCTGCCTGGATTCTGTTTTTCAGTGAGTTTTACATACTTTTTCAAAGATTTCTGTAGAGTCAAAGAAAAATTGGGTAAGGGTGCAACTAATATATTTATCTGATGTTTTTCTATGCATAGAGGAAAACAAAGATGTAAAAAAAAACAGAGTTGCAAAATTTATTTCCATCTATGGAGAGCCTTATCTCCTGGTAACTAGAAAGCTATAAATCTTGAAAGTCTGCTTTTCTTTGAAGTTACTGATTTTTTTTTTTTCTGAGATGGCCGTCTTCAGGTACTACAGCCTCTTTACTGGACTAGGCCTGTACCCCTTAGTTGAGATCTGGGTGAGGGAAAGTAGGGAGCACCCTCTTAATTGTTGCTTTCTTTTGTTTACATGATGTTTCATTATTTTTTGGTTTTCTGCTGTGTTCATTATCCTGTGCTCATCCCACCCCACCATGGTACACACACAGACACACACATCAACATTAGTCTTTTGTTTTTGATACAAGGCAGCAAGGGGCACTAAAACTGGCCAAGGACACTGCCCAAATAGTGTACCGGTCTCTGTCTGAGTTCTTCACCCATGCGCACAACTGCAAGACTATTCAGGCTCAGAGAACAAAAACAATGGTTTATTTAACAAACCAGGGAAAAACAAAGAGTTACTAAGGCCAAAAATAGCATTACCTCACCCACAGCAGTGTCCAGTGTCTTCAAGTCCTAAACAAAAGCAGCTAAAATGGCATCTTCCTGCCACTGAGAACACGGAGATCCTCTCCTGAACAATAGGCCACATGTCCAAGATGGTGTCTTCCTGCCTCTGCCAACTTGGAGCACAGGGCAGCCAGACACTAGGCCAGGTTTCAACTCATGAAGACAACAGAAGACACAACGGAAGATGCGGGGATGCCCCAGCGCAGCACCAGACAAGTGACACTCAAAACAGCAGCTGCAGTGGCTGAACGACTGACTAACAGCCACACTCACGAAGCTCAGCGAGGTCCCTGGCTCTGGACCTTCGCTTTCTCTGCCAGGCTGTGACAGCAGCAAAACCGGGAACAGTTTTGGTGGCTTGGCTAATTACAAAGCCTACAAACTTTTCCTCTCTGAGGTTGGCTGCTGGAGGTCTCCATCTTCAGAGGCCCTCAAGAGCCTTCCAGAAGATTGGCATGGTGGAGGCCAAAATTTGCCAACCCCAAACACCAAAGAGCAGAAAACAAACCCCAAAGACTGAATGAATCTGAAGCACCTTCTGTAGTCCCTTATGTTACTTATCTATTGTTCCACCAAAAAATGCCATACTTTTTTTTTTTTAATTTTTTAATAGTTGTTTTTATTTATTTTTTTTAAATAACAAATTTTATTTTTATATTCCCCATACAATTGCAACCCCCCCATTCTGACCCCAATCCCTCCCCTCCCACCCCCCACCCTCCAAAAAGTGTCTCTGGTTCATAGTTTTTTGTTGATTTTGATTTTCACTTTCTTATAGTTATTCATTTTCCTGATCCCTTATTTAAGTTTTCTAGATTCCTGCTATGAGTGAGACCATCCGGTATTTTTCTTTTTCTTTTTGAAAATGCCATACTTTTTTTTTCTCTCCCTGATACTTCTAGCATTACTCCTGGGGCTATCTATCCTCACCAGCAACCCTCACAACAGTATTTTTGGCTTTGGCCACCAGTTACATTTTTAGCGATTATAAAACCCAAGAATCAAAACAGAAATGAATTAGAGAAAAAAACAGACTCCTTTTGATCTGATGAATTTTATTTAAGAACAAAACAAATGGATTTTCTCAGAAGACTATGGTGGGTGGGAGTCAAGTGGAAAATGTCAGGCTGACCTGTTGAGTAGCTGAAGTTGGGACATGGCCTGTGGACTGACAGTTTCAGGGAACAGCTGTAAGTGCCCTCAACGCCACGCGCACCCTGATTCCTGCATCCCAGCTGGCAGTACTGCTGCTTTAGTCCATAAATACTCTGTGATCTAATTGCTTGAGGCTCAGGCTTTGGAGAGATCTCTGGGCCCACCAGTGTAAAGCCCGCCAGGCCAGCATAAAGAGCTTCCCTCCTCCTCTCTGAGTGATGCCTACTTCCCTGAGTGAAATCTGCATACGAGGATGGTGTGATAACACAGCCCAATAGGTGCTAATCTGTTCCTTCTGAAACCAGTACAGCAGTGTGAACCATTAACGCAACTAAAAATATTTTTCTTAAAAAGCAACAAAGGGCCTCCCTGGTGATGCAGGGGTTAAAGACAGCACTATCAAGCTATCACCAGCCCCTGAGGCAGTAGTGCAATCCTCAGCTGGCCAGAGAGAACCCACATCGCCCAGCAGATCTCTCCTGTCATGGCTCCCCTCAGCAGTGTATACAGTAGATCCGCCTGTTCTGTCTCTAGTGAATCCTCTCACCCCCTGCACCTCTGGTCAGTACCCCAGTTCTTGTATGCATAAATAAATAAATCTTAAAAAAAAAAAAAACAATAGGACCTCCCTAGTGGCTCAGCGGGCTGAACGCAGCGCTGTGAAGCTGTCCGCAACCTCTGCAGTGCGGGTTCAATTCCCGGCCAGCCAGGGAGAAACCCACAGAGTGTGGCAGACCCCTCCTGCCTCTCCCGCTGCTCTATTCAGCAGTGTCTTTGGTCCTTCTGCCTGTTCTGCTCCCCGCTCTGTCTCTGGTAAATTCTCTCACCCTCCGGCGCCTTTGACTTTGGGGGGAAAAAAATTTTTAAAAATTTTTTAAAAAGCAGCAAAAACAAAAGTGAAACTACTTTTCATTTCCCACTTAGAAGATAAATAAGGGCTCCTCTACCACAGAGGGAGCCAAAGCCTGGGCTGCAGTGGTGAAGCAGCAGCTGCCAGACCTAGGAGAGACCTACATGCAAGTCTCTCTGGAACAAACTGAAGTCAGGAGATTGGCCTCTGGAGACAGGTAGGTGAAGAAGGAGGAAAATTGGGTAGACAGAGAGCTACAACAGACTGAGACTAAAATAGTAAAAAAACTGATGGAAACAGCCATAGGGAACAACAGAGGCAAAGGCAGAACAGGAAATGCTGACAAGCATGAATCAACTTTGTCATTGTTCCACAAAACAGCTCCTAATCTGGGGGTGAAGGAGAAAGAAGAGCAGTATCAAAGCAGACAATTTGGTCATTTCTATTGTCAAATAAAGGTAAATACGGATTCAGGTGAACAGAGAATTTCTTTGAAAGGATTTTTGCAAATGGCTAAATAGATCAATGCAAAGAGAAAGCAACCCAATCACACAGCTTCAAGCCTCTCAAAGTCCACATAGAGAGGAATTTTTTCTATGGGGAAGGGCCAACAAAGTTAAAAAAGCAGGTAATGGTAAGAGTGTGATAATTAGGGAAGGTTGCTGCTTCTTTGTTTTTTTTTTTTTTAAGATTTATTTATGCATACAAGTACTGGAGTACAGGCCAGAGGTACGGGGTTTGGGGGTGAGAGGATTCACCGGAGACAGAGTGGGGAACAGGACAGGCAGACTGACTGAAATACACTGCTGAGGGGAGTGGGGGGTGAGACAGGAGAGGTCTGCTGCACCATGTGGGTAGCTCCCTGGCTGGGAGAGGATTGAACTTGTGCTGCAGTGGCTGCGGATAGCATCACAGAGCTGTGCTTAATCCTTGTGCCAATGTTGCTACTTCTTAGGAGGAAACTCCGAAGGGTTATTTCCTTGGTAAAGAGGGGTAAGTCAATGCTTAAGGCTCTGGAAATAGGAGAGAAGATTGATTCATGTTTATTCCAGTTATAAGAATTTTGCTTCATTTATTAAGGTGGACAAAGAGTCCAGCTAATCTTCACTGAAGCAAAGAATGGAAATTTAAGATCTGTATCTGGTCCAATTAGAAGTGAAAAAGGGAAGTGAGTCTTAATTAAGTCTAGGAGTAAATGGCTCAGGAAAACTTGAACACTGTTATAATGGATCATGTAGATGACAGGTGTTACTGTAAGCACAGAGAAGACAGGTACTAACTTGACCTGGAAGATTAATGGAAGATTGCACAAATAGGGCCTCCCCAGTGGAGCAGCGGCTCAGCGCTGGGTTGCGAAGCTGCCCACAGCCTCTGCAGCACCGGTTCGATCCCTGGCTGCTCCCCGGCCTCCGGCGAGGGTCCCACATGGCGCGCAGACCTCTCCTGCCGCCCGCTGCTCCCCTCAGCAGTGTACTTCAGTCCTTCTGCTGGCTCTGCTCCCCGCTCTGGCTCTGGTGAATTCTCTCACCCTCCCCCGCTTCTGACTGTACCCAGTGCATGTATAAATAAATAATAAATAAATAAATAAATCTTTAAAAAAAAAGAATATTGTTTAAAAATGAACAATGATATAAACAAAAAAATTTTAAAAAAAGAAAACTGAGGTTGGAAAAAGATGACAGAATGGGACTTCTAAGGAAAGAAAGTGAAGTACTAAATAATAGGAACAAAAATACAAACAATAACTTAAAGATCTGACTGGCTTAATTAAACTATTCATAAATAGTGTCCCTCTAGAATGTTGGAGTGAGCTCCCAGGAGCTACTGAATGAGAAAGATTCTCAAGGCAACACAAAGAATCATAAATGAAAAAAAGGATTCTTCCGATTCAGGTAACCTATGGAGCAGGTAAGGGCTCTATGGGGCAGGTTACCCCTTCTTCCTTCAGCAGATGGAAAGAATTCCCTCATTGGAGATGACGAGAAATTTCTAAACATATCACATGTGTACTTAAGACAACATTCCTAAGGGAGGTTGTAACTTTGGTCAGACTTGAAGTTGAATTGAGAGATGTGATCAAAATTGAAGGCACTAGAGCCACTCTGAGCTGCCACGGCATAATCCTTGCAGCCTTGTGTCAAGACTGTGTAGTATCCTTAAGTTATAACATTTTTTTTAACTTCTCTGATAGCCACAGGTCATAGCTTCATGTTCATATCTTTAAGCTGGTCATTCTCTTCCCTTCTTTTCTCATGTTCCTGTCCTAGAGAGACCACTTGCATGCTGGTTCAAGAACGGTAGCATCCATTAGAGGTCTTGGCAGAATACAACACACCAAGGGGACTATTATGACTATAATAGGCAGGATAAATCCCGATTTTGAAGTGCGCTTGAGTCATGGTCCCCAAGACTCGAACCAATTAAAATCAAGTAAGTCAAAAAAGATCCCCATTGAAGAATTCACCCTTTAAAGTGGCTTATTCAAAGTGTTAATCCAGGTGCACCAGGTGAAGTTGGCTACAGCTCAGACTCCTTGCTCTGCTAAAAGATAATCAAGGACTATCCTGTTTTCAAGAACAACTTTTGTCAGAATCCAGTGTTATCTTGTCTTAGACTTAGGTGAAACTGAAGATCAGTTACTGACACAACAATGGTATTGGCAATACCTTCAAGAATGAGGAGAGATTTCTGATCAGATTCTCCTTTATATTTACTCCTAATCAGGAGGTACGGAAGTGCCACAGGAGATAAGTCCTGGGGCAAGATGTCTCCTGGTAGCTGCAGCACATGTGCTGTGGGTGTACAGTGCTAGCTCATGTCTGTGATATCCCTGCTCTCTGGGGTTCCCACCCGAGATGTGTCAGTGGCTGTCATGAGGCCAGTACCAGTCCCAAGGGTTATTGCAGGAGGGACAGCACCTCCCAAGGATGTCCTTCTTCTTACCATTCAGGACCTTCCTGCTCCTCCCTACTTGTACCCCCTTAGTCAAGGGTGTGGACCCCCACACCTTTTAATTATCCCCTTGCAAGGACCTTGGCTGAGCAGCGTGGCACAATTAGAACAGCGGTCTCCCGCCCAAGATAGTGTCCAGACATTTCTCTCTACCCATCTCTTGTTCAGTGCTACATAAAATTCTTCTATGACCCTTCTAGTGTAGACTGTGCTGGTCTCTGATGTCCCAGAGGTGCTTCAGGTTTGCCCCAAGTCACGGGACCCCTGGGATATTGTCCATCTGTGTACTTCTTAGATGGCCTCTGGGGAGCAAAGCAAGAAACAGCCTCTGATGGCACTTGGATTGATTCCTATCCATACAAATTTAAATGAAGAATGTTTAACATCTTGGTATTTCACAGTATTTCTCATGCAATTCAGCAACCAAATGAGTTTATTTGGCTTAATATCTCTTTTATAAAGGTAGAAAGCAAATCATCTAGATAGAAGAACCATTTGGTATGCCTCAAGATGAGTTCAATGTCAAAAGACTTCATTTAGAATTTGGTTTGGAGGAAGGTTATCAATACATCAAACAGTTTTAAGACACTTGATCTATGAGAATCATTAAATCCGTTTGAAAGAGTAGCATCCAAAGTGACAAGTAAGTCTAAAGCCAAATATGGAAGCATACATAGTAATAAATAAAAATTAGCTCTTCTGATATTAAGAACACTAGGTCTACCCAAATAAGCAAAGACCTGATGATAAAAATAGCATAGTGCATTATTTTGATCAAACACAAAATCTTTCCCTTTTAGGCTGATTACCTAAAAGACTAAGGAAACACCTTTCACAATATGTTATCAAGAGAATGGGCCTCTCCTGGTGGCGGAGGCAGTTGAGCACAGCTCTGTGAAGCTTCCACAGCCTCTGCAGCGCCGGTTTGATCCCGGCTGGCTGGCGAGGGTCCCACATGGCGCAGCAGACCTCTCCTGTCTCACCTGCTGCTCCCCTCAGCAGTGTATTTCGTCAGTCTGCCTGTTCTGTTCCCCATCTGTCTCTGGTGAATCTTCTCACCCTCCGGCGAATCTGGCCTGTACCCTGGTTCTTGTATAAATAGAACTTTTTTTTTTGTTTGTTTTTATAGATTACATATTTATTATATAAATTTATATTTATATGAATTATATATATTTACATATAATTTATATATATAAATATACATTTACTTTCAAGGGGTATGACTTCCAGGAAATCAGTAGTACTTTTTTTTTTTTATTAGATAATAAATTTTATTGTTATATTCCAATGAATAACTATAAGAAAGTGAAAATCAAAATCAACAAAAAACTATGAACCAGAGACACCTGCAATTAAATAGAACTTTTTAAAAAAAAAAAGAGCAGACCATAGCCCAAGAAAACCCTGCCCTTTAACAGCTGAAAGAAATTAAAGTTTAATTTGACACAAGTATACTATTGATATTAAAACTTATTTTTGAAACCCTTATAACAAACTTATTTAATCTTATCCAGTTTGGAAAAAAATATAATTCCTTTTCCATAAACCTTCTTCCATTTTTTTTCATGTTCAGATTTTTTCCATATTTTTCCTTACGTAAGGACAAAACCACCTTCTTTAACATAATGTGCTTTAACATAATGTGCTCCGTATTGCTTCTCTTTCTGGAAACATATACCTTAGTTTTCTTGCATATAGACAGGTTTTCCTTATTATTTACAATAGTTTTAATTATATATTAATTAAAAAGGAGATATAAGGCAGGGTAGAGGACCACTGCCAGTTTGCTCACAGGGAATGTCCGTCTAGGTTCTTTTTTCTTCATGTGCAAGTTATCCTCACACCATTTGTTTAAAAAACTCCTTTTCCCCACTGGCTTGTCTTTACTCTTTCTCGACATCAGTTGACTGTACCTGTGTGGGTCTAGTTTGGGATCCTCTATACTATATGTCAAATCCGCTCATGTATTCTTTCATCATTACCATGCTGTCTTCATTCTTTATGACTTTAAAGTAAGCCTTGAGGTATCTGTAGTAGCATTGTCTTTCACCTTTAGTATTTTGTTGGCTATTCTAGGCATTTTGCTTTTCCATATAAATTTTGGGATCAAATTGTTGATATCCAGAAAATACCTTTTCTTAAAAAAGATTTATTTATTTATACAAGCATTGGGGTACCGGCTAGAGGCCAGAGAGGGTGAGAGAATTCACCAGAGACCGAGCGGGGAGCAGAACGGGCAGATGGGCCAAAAACACTGCTGAG